CTATATTTTGCTTCTATGTTACTCAAATTTTCAGACTTTTTCTGCATTTTACTAACAAGTATTTATATAAAGTTTGGTAAATGTAGGTTGCGCTCCTTACCCCTATGCAAGGTCAAGCTGTACCTGCAAATACTTAAGCAACTTCCTGGGTTATCATAAGATAAGTTGGCCTTTGAAGTGCTGTTGGGTACAATCTAATCTATTCTAAAAACAAATAAAGAAATGTTGCTCTTCACGAGCATTTTTATGAGTCCTGGAGATTAAGATCTTTGGCACAAATGAGTTAACTGCACCCAGAAAGAAGATTAAGTTCATGTGAGCTAAAAAAACCCAAAACCCCAGAAAATTCAACTGGCTGGGAGGCTGTCGTTACACAGCTTTCAGAAGCAATGCTTCAGGAAACGGCTGGCTAGCGTGGTGTGCCAGTCAGCAGAAACTACTTGGCTGAAAAAGGCCATGTAGCTGCTGTCTCTATTCTTTGTTAACGCGATCAGTGTTCCCCTTAAAGGCAAGAGTCACTGGGACTAGATTAATGAGCTCAGTGTGCTGCATAAAAATATAGTGGATAAATGAGCTTGTATATAATCTAGGTCCACTGTCATGCATCAGTAACATGTAGGCTGCACGTAGTCTGATCACTAACATAGTTACTGTAACTACGGCGATTATCAGGACCCGTGTACGTGTGCATCAATCTAACTTAATAGGTGGCTGTTGGAAAAACAACCAGGAATGAGCATTAGTGAACCCATCTGAGAAATTTCTGGTTCAAGGCTTTTTAGGGAATTTAAAAGATGGGGAGCAGTTAATTCCTTTTGAGCATCAAAGGAAGCATGTCCAGCAGGTTGAGGGAGGCAATTCTGCCCCTCTACTCTGGTGAGACCCCACCTGGAGTACTGCGTCCAGGTCTGGAGCCCTCAGCACAGGAAAGACATGGACCTGTTGGAGCGGTCCAGAGGGGGGCTATGAAAATGAACCAAGGGATGGAACACCTCTCTTATGAGGAAAGGCTGAGAGAGTTGGGGTTGTTCAGCCTGGAGAAGAGAAGGCTCCAGGGAGACCTTACTGCAGCCTTTCAGTACTTAAAGGGGGCCTATAAGAAAGATGGGGGCAAACTTTTTAGCAGGACCTGCTGTGATAGGACGAGTAATAGTTTTAAACTAAAAGAGGATAGATTTAGACTAGATATAAGGAAGACATTTTTTACGATGAAGGTGGTGAAACACTGGAACAGGTTGCCCAGAGAGGTGGTAGATGCCCCATCCCTGGAAACATTCAAGGTCAGGTTGGACAGAGCTCTGAGCAAACTGGTCTAGTTGAAGATGTACCTGCTTATTGCAGTGGGGTTGGACTAGATGATCTTTGAAGGTCCCTTCCAACCCAAACCATTCTGTGATTCTGTGATCCTGTAGGCTGCCTCCCCCCCCAGATATAATACAAAGCTTATTGTGCCATCCCGGGGGTCTAAAGACCTCAAGAATACTTGACTAAAGGAAGCTGTCTTAGGAGAGAGGGTTGGAGCCATTTGTCAGGCTGCGGCCTCAAAGGAAACACCGAGAGAGGTCCCACGAGAGGGTGTTTGAAGGAGGAAGCTTCGTCACGTTCCAGGGAGTGGTAGTTCAGGGAGAGGATGTGTAATAGACTCTCCTGTTATCAAAATTTCTTTTCTCTCTAGAGCTCTACTTCTAAGTAACAATGTTATTTAGTTAAAGAATATTAAGCTTAAGGTTATTAAAGAATATCACAGGTCCTAAAGAGAGCAGAACCAGGTCTCAGCCAAAGCTTTGTCTGCAAAGAGGATCAGTTGATCGCAGCCTGGTTTGGAAGTGAGTACAATTCTCGTTGTCGACGTCTCTTCATACGTAATAGGGCCTTAAGTGATGCGCAAATACGTAATGTATTTGCAGAGGGTGAGAGAAGGCAGAGGTATATGTAGCTTGGTAAGTGAAATGTGAAATGGGAGAAATCCATCTTACAAAGTTCTGGAACCAGAACTGTCTGTATGAAAAAAAAGAGATTAGATACTTAAATGGATGCTAAGCACTTCCAGAAATATGCTAGTTAAATATTTAAGTGCGTGTAAAGGCCAGGGTAGGAGCAGGATTTGGAACAGAACAAATGTTTGTGCTTCAGAGTATAAACAAACCTCTTACTCAGGATAAGTGGAAATTTTCTCCAGTGGCTGAAACACCTGGTGGCAGACCTTTTTTCTTTTTTGAAGTTCTTTTTATGAAGCCTCTTATTCTGATTGTTTTCTGATATCGTGAAATAGTTTACTAGAGAAGATACATATTTTCTTTTTTACATTTTTCCTCATTTGCTGTTTCAGAATGTAGGTAAGGACATAGTGTGTTTGTGGCGTTGTTTTGGAAACATGGTTTGGATTTTTTAAAGCATTTTTGTGCCTAATAGCCTTTTCAAAATTCCATTATGGTCTTAACTCAATCTCTTACTCAGTAGATACTTAAAAACTAGCTGGAAGTACTAGAAACAGTGTTCTCGCCAACTTCAATGCAGCCAGTGATGGTTCAAATTGTCTTGCTCTAACGTTTATAACTTTTACAGTTTGAGTGAATGAATTGCCAGGAAAGCTTGGGAGATCTGGAATTCTCTGGACTGTTCATGGAGTTTCAGTTGCTTAATTCAGTTTAATCTAAATGTATTCTTCAAAATTAAATTTCTGATTTGCCTCTGGACTTGGGCTGTGGCAAATGTAGAAATGGCTCTGTGACTACGTTTAGCTTTGACTTTTTTGGCTCTGTGGTCATTAGTAGTCTAGCTGTGGAGATGACAGCAAAATTTAAATGATTCGTACTTGTTTACAAAATGATACCCCCACAAAGATAAATGTGTTTATCCTTATCTTTATGGATAGGTCAAGACTTAAAAGCTAGGGGATTGAGTCAAACAAAAAGTCCAGATATGAGCTATAATGCAGAACCTCTTGCTCTTGTGAATGTCTCATATCCTTTCTGCTTGTCCACTGCAAGTCAAAACACATCTGAAAATTGTTTGGAGGCTGTCGGTTGCTTGTGGGTTTTTGTACCGTACATGGCATTTTATGCAAAGCCAGTTCCTCCATGTGCATTTAATCCCGTGCCTTGTGAGGAATATGAGTTAAAAGCTTGTAAACAAAGACCAAGACAAAAAAAAAAAAAGCTACTTGTGTTCTGACATGATATTAGTTCGTCAGAGTGCATACAAGGGGGAAACTTGTGTTCCATTCAAACAACAAACACGTGTACAGAAAACCTGTTCTTTGTCTTGGCATATATTAAAGCTCTTGTTTTATTTTGCACAGTTAATATATTTTAAGGTAGCATTTTGCCTACCTAGACTTATACAAGTGCTGAAAAGCATTGTTTTGCTTCTTCAAATTAGCGTTGAGCATGGTTCACCATCAAATTTGTATTGCACCATCCCATTTTACAGCACAGGTTACCGATTTTAGAAAGGAGAAGAAACAGCTATCTTTGCCTTGTCTTTGAACATCTGTGTTTCGAAAACATCTGTGAAATCAAAGCAGTTAAAAAGTTATTCCTCTGTTCTTTTTGTGCTCTGGATTGTGTACTTCTATTGACTCTAACACGCTTAAGACATTGTATATACCATTTTTTTGCAAGAGCGTTTCCTGTGTCCTACTTGATTTCCTGTTTGTATCTCATACCCCAGTGACTGGATCAGGTAAACTAGTGAGGTTCAACAAGGGAAATTTGTGTAGTTCTAGGTGTTCGCTTCTTGTCCAGAAATAAGCCGGAAGTATTCATTTTGAAAGACCTGAGCGTAAAACTCTTTTGGCAGCAATACAAAATGCCTCCTTTCGTGTCTTTTCTCCTGTGTCCCATCTGCTTCTCACACCCTGTGTCCTTTGTGTTGCCTAACTTTGTATTGGTTTCTAACACTGGGTGCTAGACTAACCTTCAGGGGGCACTTGTGGCATACCATATATACAGGACCAGAGGGTGAGTGTTTTGGCTGATTGAAACCTCAGCACCCAGTCTTACTAGGCAGTATAACTAGTCCAGGACCTGTCTAGGTCATCTGTATCCTATTTTACCTTTCTTTCCATGTGGGCTTAGCCCAACTCCCAATGACTTCAAAATAGTAGCTATTACTTGTGCTGGACCAGTGCTGCATAATGGTATCAGCATGAGGTCTCCTAACGTGCAGACCACCATGTTGTAAGTTTATTCAAGGTTTGAATGTAGTTGTCTTGACTAATCTGGTAACAATGCTGAGGGCTGCACGATAACAAGTTGACTTACCCTCAAGCCCTCGGGGAGTAGCAATGCAAGAAAACCAAACGCTGACATACCTTAATTAGATGTCCCTTCCCAAGAGCTGCAGATCTCTCAAAAAAATAATGCATTCCTATACTGTATAGTATATGTACTAGTTTTTAGTCATCTTTAGACTTCACTGCGGATGTGTAAGGAAAAAGTTGGAACCACTGCATTATTTCTTCTTAATCTGTTACTTCATTTCTAAACTCCTTAGATCTACAGTCAGAATTTTGACTCATTCTCTCTCTTAAAATTTCTCTTTTTCTGATGCTTGGTGAGAGCAGTGTGGCATTCATTTCCATTGTGCACGTTTCTGAACTTGTTTTCATGTTACTCGGTGTAACTGGGGTATGGAGCCAAACTGCGTAATGGCTGCAAGGTCTGTCTGTGACAGCTCTTCTGTGTTGGCAGTCTGAACCAGGACAACCATTTCTACACTGAAATGATAGCCATGTACTCTGCATTTGTATGTTGTTTGCAGAATTCAGACTGAATCATGGTAGTTGAGGACACAAATATGTAATGCAATAAGGTGCTATTGAACAAGAGAACAGAAATAAACGGTGTCTGGTTTGTATTTGTGACCTACAGCCTGGCACTGTCAGTGTGGTGGCTGAGGGTTGATTAGATTTCGGGTAACTGTCTTCTCAGTAATTGCTGTATTTGCTACCTGTACTTTTAAATTGTCTCAACTTTGTCTCTTCTAGGAAAAACAAAATGAAGGAACTAGTGTCAAACAGTACAACCAATATATCTCAAGCCAGGAAAGCTGTGGAACAGTTAAAAATGGAAGCATACATGGATAGGATGAAGGTAAACTTAGACTTATTGTTGATACTTTGAATTCACTCACTAGTTTGTGGTGCAGCCTCCCTTTAATATTGCAGAAAGACTCGATCAGCTGAAAGCAAAATTCTGTGTTGAGCTATAAAACAGTATTCAGTACTGTGAATTAGTTAGGTGCTAACTGCTTGGCTCTAGTGAAGTGATTTTCAAAGACTGTCTCCTAGTCTGCCTTTTATATCTGTCAAAAATGGTATTTTGTGAAATATTTAAAATCAGTTGGAAGATGCACAGGTACTCTTCTTTGTCACCTGCAGCTGAAAATAAGTGCATCTCAGGTTTCTCGGTGGTAGGGTAAGCTGTCCTTTAAGAACTGGAATAAGTCTTCAAGATATTGCAGTTCTTTTGAATAATGATGAGACAAGCTGAATTGCTTTGTTTTGTTTTAGCACAGACATCATTGCACAAAAAATACGTATGATTACAATGTTCAGTTAATGATTCTTCACACTTGATAGCGTGTTGTATGTGAAGGTTTGGTTTTATCATGCCTCTAAATGTATGTGGATTAAATGTTTTAACTAAAGGCACTATTAAACAGAGGTTTTAACCAGAAAAGCCTGTGGGATTATTCTTTCCTGTCATTCTGCCTTCCACTAAGCCAAAATTTTGTGAATAAATCAAGCACCGAAAAACTAATCATGTCATAGAAAGTTTTAAGAAAGCAATGCTCATATCTTTTGCACTTGCGCTCGCTCGCTCTCTGCGCGCCTCTGAAAATAGGGAATAATTATTTGGATGAAAATTCCAGCCTCTACAAGTAAGAAGATTTTAGAGATGGAAAGACTAGAAAAAGGAATGCATTTAAATAATCGTTTTTTCTGCAAACAGCTGTATCCGAGTTGTTACAAACTGTAACTGTTTGTAACTGAGGCTACAAACTCAGTAAGACGGTTTAGAAATGTTGTACATTAAATTCTTCATGTACTCTTAACTCAGTCTGTTTGTCCATCCATCCTGTGTGCTGAAATCCTGCATGTAGTCAGCATGGGGGCAATAGTATATAATTACAATTTTAAAATAGTATTAGATCATAAACTCACTATTAATAATTCAGAAATATTAGTGCAATTCACATGAGTAGTCAATCTTGCTTATAAGAAAATACAAATTTCAGTTGCTCCGTTTTATTGCAGTTTATAGCAATGTCTTGTAAGACCACTGAATTTGAAAAACTATAGTTTCTATCTTGTATAGCGTCTTGACAAATTCGTCACTTAATAGATGCCTGTTCACAGGGACAGGTATTTCTGTTTCCGTCAGTAAGGGAGGGTCTGCCTTTTCAGTGTTCAATGGGGTTAGTCCCCCGATTCAGGTCGTATTGCAGCTGCATGAAAAACAGAACTGACAAGAAGGAGCGGGTGTGCACAAGCAGCAGAGGAAAGGGTTGGAAAAATACGGCCCAGTTTACTGAAATTTGAAATTGTTGATACTTAGTATAAACTTGCTTTTATAGAATCGGTGATAACTGTCACATACCACATCATTAGCTCAGTTATGCAGATAGCTTCATTAGTTAGATGTATAAAGTTCTTAATTACATATGCAAGAAAGACATAGGTTATTTTTACAGTTAGTTTAATTAACAAGAACAGAGTTGTTAGCAACTGTGGCAGACCTAAAAAACAAATAGCTCGAAGGTGCAATTATTTTACCTTTCAAAATAGCTTGGGACCAAAAGGGCACCAAAGAAAATCTGATGTGTTTCAGTATTCTGAAGGTTCCTATACTAACATAAACCAAATGATTTGCAAAAGGTTGATGTCTTAATTTCTAGATTTTCTTTGAACAATTATATGAAGGTTTGTGAGAAGGGATTGGTTGGCTTTTTATTCCCCCGAGATCTGCTTTGACTTTTAATCTTGGAAACAGTTAAGTGTGTGTTTCAGTGTAGCCAGATTTTACCGAGAGACTTTCCAGTGGTTTCAACAGGAGATTTTGAGTTCCCCGATCATAACTGTAAAGGTAGGGAAATGAACTTACTTCCTTTTCTTCTGGTGTTTTGCATCTGCTTAAACGAGTTAGACATTTAACAAAGGATCAGTGCTTTCCAAATAATTTAATTAAACACTGTTTTGCAAGTAGCTATAACCAAGCGGTTATTCCCATAATAGACAAGACCACATTGTTAACATTAAAAAGGATTTTTTCAAGGTGCCCTCATTATTAACTAGGGAAATCAGAAGTTCCCGCTTGTGTTTGTACTACAAAGGCGTTTTGTTTTCTGTGCATAGGAGCTGCTGTAACCAGCAAGAGTTAGGTCCGCTCAATTAAAATCTTGTAGTTAGAAGTATGTTCATAGTTGCCCATTCCCTGCTGTGTTCTGGGTTTTTCAACTGATTCAAAGATCAAGTCCTGTAACCAGTCAGAGCAGCAAGCAATGCAGTGTTTTGAGGTTCCACAAAGACAACTCGCTGTTGAGGTGTGAAAGAAACAGGACAACTTAAAAGGGGAGGATGAAGTTATGGTGTATTGATCGGTAGTTGGAAGGAGTATTACTGCGGTGGGTTTTTGTAAACCGTAAGAATCCCAGAAGGATCATAAATTGAACCTGTCTTACTTTCCCGCGGAAGGAACAGCTAGAATTATAATGGAGAAGTCAGTACAAAGCAGGAGGCGCAGATTTCAAGCTAGGAAACATCAAATTAAATCAGTGGCCTCATGACTAGTGGAATGATGCGTCTTCCAAAGATGCTAGCAGTAAAGTTGAGAAAGCAAAGGTGATATTGGTGCTTAATCATAGTTGTTGCCAGAATAAAGCACTGTTTAATCTTCTCTTTGCAAGCAGAAAAGCAAGGAGGAGTGCTCCAACATTTAAGAACCGTGGTGTATCAGTTATTATTCCATTTTCTTTTTTCTTAAGAACGTAGAAAATATACCTAACTGGTTCTGAATAGTGTTGGGAGGTAAGCAACGGGATTGCCAATAAACGTGTGAATCTCTTTGTTTTAGATGTAAAGGATAAGCAGAGTGGGTGTCATAGCAAAGATGGTAATTAGTCACAATCCATGACAAGACACATGACATAGTAATTGCAGCATTTTGCCCTGTCATTGAAGCTTATAATTATTAGTGCAGCTAACAGGATTATGTTCTAACTTTGGCTGTTTTTATCACCTCTGTTATTCTGAAATATAATGGTAAAATTCCACAGTCCTCCTGAGACTAATTCTTTAAAGCATCACGGTTGAGTGTTTTGTTGTTCTTTTTTTTTTTCATCTTGGTAATCGGACAACCAGATGTATTTTTCACTACACAGAATAAAAATAATTGTATAAAATGTGAGATCGGCGTGATACATATATACTCCATCCCCTCTATCTATGCTCTTCGAAAGATTAAAAAAAATGAAATGTTAACTTTCTGTTAGAACTCATCAATCAAACTGGAGTCTGATTTTTTTCTTTAGCCACTTCTGCAATATGTATAAATTACTTTGAATCTGCAGACCGAGCTGTATTGTGTCGAGAGCTGAAATGACAAATGTGTTAACTTCATTTGAATATTCAAATTACATGCATTTATTTTAATTCTTGATAAAAGCTACTCTGAAACTGTCCAGCATCATTCAGCTGCAAAAAAAACCTGAAGGTGAATAAAAGCTATGATAGAGTGGCCTTCATTTAACTTCCTCCCTGACACAAATAGGGTGATCAGCGCGTTGTTTTGTATAGTAACAAACCACAGTGTTGGTCATTAGGCAACCTCTGCATGCTGATGTGCGCTAACGCAGACATTTGTGCTGTAGCCTTAATGCGATGCTCAATGCAGAGGTCTTCCACCACTGTTGTTCCGAATAATAATACTGAGCAGGAAACTTGCTGGAGGCAACGTTGTATTTTACCCTTTTTTTTGGCCACAGTTCTGACTTTGCCAACACTGCGCACGGCCACAGGAACCAATGTTTTCATTGCTCCTGGAATGTGATCAGCTAGCTTAACTCCCCCTAGTAAATGGTCATCATGCCTCTGCACAAGCCTGAGCTACTCCAGTTTAAGTGAAGAAAGGGCTGTAATTCAGTTTTAATCCCAACGGGAGGCTTTCTCCTCCCCAAACCTTTTATTCTTTTAAAAGATGAAAATACATGGCCTAGTACAGGCTGGGAAGTTTAGTTAGTGACAATGTGCTGAAATGTGATCATGTTCCTCAGTTCCTTGTTGCAGGTTTGTTTTCTACTAAATTGTACTATGTATTATGGTTTCTCTAAAAGCAAACTAATTTGTGAATTAAACACTCTGACACTGAATAAAGTGCTTGCTCTGCTTCATGATGTTTGGCATTCCTACCAGGACATTAGAGGACAAGTTAGATACAAAATTTTATGTTGTGCTTTTGCTAGTGAAAATCCTTTTTATTGTTATTTGATGTCAAAGCACAGTAATATGTAGAGAAACGGTTAGGAAATTATATTACAGGGTTTATCGCTTCTGAGAATGATGATTGAAATTGTACTTCTCTTCCGTTGAACGAAAAGCAATATACTCAGGCTGATGCCGCTTATACGTGGAACAAACAAGATAGTTCTAGGGCAGTCAGTCTGTTGAAGTCCAGTGTTGGTTCTCTGCTCCTGTAGGATCAGTCTACTTAAAAAGATTGTTGGTTTCATGACCAAAATAACTTATTCAGTAGCTTAATAATTGAAGACGAAATGTGCTGGGCACCTTTAATCAACCCTGTGTCTGGGACCCAGAGAATTAGACTAGCTCTCCATTAGGTTTTATGGCAGTAATGTCTGTTATGACATAGCACTGAAAATTTCATTGAGCTTTTTGTGGGCACCTGTGGCTCTGAGTTTGACTTGCTCTGTTTGAATGCAAGTGTTCAGGACCAGCTAATAAATTAATGAGAGCATAGAACTGCCTTAATTTGAGGCACGCAGCTGAGCTTGAAGGACAATAGAAAAGTGAAAATGCGTATGTTAAATAATTACGAATGTACTAGTGATTGTCATTACTTGAAAATACTTCTCCAAAATGCTGTGGTGGTACGTTCCTCCTAACATTACTGGAAGCATGCTAACCTCCTCTTCAGTGGATGTGTTCTATGCTAGTTTATACTTTGCTGAGGTATAGCATAGGTCATTAGCAAAGAAAAGTATGTTTGCTGTCTTTGATCTTTCTTGGGCTTGATAGGAATTTCATAGTCCGTCTACATTGTGCCTTTCTTTGGGGAATCTGCTTTTTAAAAATCCACAAGTAAATTTCGATGAAAATTGGGAATATGATAGGATTTCTGAGTTTTCTGTTTGTTCATTACAGTTCTACCTCTCTATTCTAGACAGTGCCCTCGCCCTAAGCCTCATTCTTTTGTCATTGCTTAGCAAGTAGCTAGTTGAAAAGTATGTCTGAAAATAATGACAATCCTTTCTTTTTACTTTGAAGTCCGTCATTTTCCAAACATTTTCGTTTGACCTGCTTCCTGATTCTCTTTTGAGAAGCCCTGGTCCTTCTGAATATCTCTGCTGATTTGCTCAGTTTAGTGCTCAGTCTTCTGCTTTGCGTTGGCCCAGCAGTCTGTTGTTCACATGTAGCGTCTCTGCCCACCCTTTTGTCTCACAGGCCAATTCAAAGGCAGACTCATTTTAAGTAACCTAAACACCCTTGCTTCCTCTGCTAGGAGGATAGTCTATACGGGGATGACAACTATACGTACTTTATGGGTTTAAGCATTCTACAAAGGCATTTTTTAGTGGATGTTTAAAAATAAAAATATCAGTTACTTTCTTCCAGAAGTTAATTTAAATTTCACGCGAATCCTGATCCAACACCCACTGGCTTCATAGGTCTAATCTGAAGCCTACAACAGGCTGAACTCATGCCAAAGCAAGCAGGGTCTGGGGAAGATAAAGCTAACAGTGATGACACACCTGCTAAAAAAATACCCAAAATCTGATTCGTTTTTCCTCTTCTCTATAGTTGTTCAAACACGCTGACCTCAGTGTTTGACTCAGGAGAAGCTGTCATGGTGCTCAGAGAAAAGGCTTTTTTGTAAAGACTTCTATCTCATTTTCTCAACACTTTCACAATATTGGAAACACAGTAATTAAACAGAGCAAAGATACAGAGAGTTGTAAATATCTTGCTAACTGAGCAGAACAAGAATATTTTGTATCTACATTCTAAATTCTTGAAAAAATAAATGACTCACAGTAGCCTAATATCACCAATATTCTTATGGCACAAAGCTGTTTTCAGCTACAGTTGAAATGGTTTAATATTTCATTTTTCACTTTATGCAAAATATCTTGTATGCCAGCACACTGTTACGTTTCTGTAGGACTTTTCAGTAAGCGTAAACCAACGTTCAGAATTTGGAGACTTTTAGAATTGTTCATTTGAGAAGTATAAAAATATTAAGATAAAAAATACTAAGGTAATGCTCAAGTTTAATGCTATGAATAAAGTATTACTTATAATTTACTAAGCAGAAGATATTAGTCTGACTTCATTGAAAAGAGGAATATTTAGCTTAAATGAGAGCTATGGTACGTGATGATCAAGTTTTGCTCCTGATTTATTATTTATTTTTAATCCCACAGTCATGTGCCTAAAGAACTGTTTGTTTGTTTGTTTGTTTTGCATGCAGAGGAGCAAAGGGTAGAGAGGGTGTTTGTGGAAGACCTTGCAGCCTTGCTGCTCTAATGACTGGGAGTCAGAGCTGAAGCAGGCAGCCTCTACAGAAACAGAGCTTCAAGGAGAATCCCTGGTGCTTATGGGCCATTACCATATACGTGTTTTAATGAGTATATGCTCCTGACCTTCCTTCTGATGGAGAGGAACAGCTGAACATGAATCATATAAATTGATACCATCTCATGTCAATATGTTAAATAAAATGTAGATCAGGATTAGCAGGCCTAGTAAGAGCAAGTTCAGAGTTGTGGTCTCTAGTAATTTAAAGGATAAACCAATCTACTCCTATTTTATGATAGCCGCCATTATCATATCTTATATGGAGAATATTTATGCAATGCTGATTGGTTCAGAATTAAGTGTTACAGTAGTTCTCTCTTCTCTTCTATTAGGTATCCAAGGCTGCAGCAGATCTATTGGCATATTGTGATGCTCATATTGGAGAAGATCCCCTTATTATTCCAGTGCCTGCATCTGAAAATCCCTTCAGGGAGAAGAAACTCTTTTGTACTATCCTTTGAGTCAGTTTTCAATTGAAAATGTCTTCTGCTACAGTTTGGTATCAGTGTTGCATGCTTTTCATTCTAGCATTTTTTTTCTTCAGATATCAAGACTTAGCCTATAATGACAGTATTTTTAGAAGGTAGTGCATTTTCTGGTAAAAACTAAAATCCTAAAAAATTCAAGGTAGTCCTTATCTCTCAGACCAATGTACAAGTTTAATTTCAGTTCTTCGTAGTGATTCTTTTGGTCTTAATGAAAGTATTGAGTACAGTCTCAAATTGTAGATATCTTTGCCAGTGATAGATTTTTCTGAGACCTAAATGAGTCATACCGATTCTGAAGCTATTTTTAACATTCTTATTTTCTTTGGAAGGTGAATTTAATTCATTTGCCTTTCCAAATTTATATCTAAAAAGAGTAGTGTGACCTTTCCTCAAGTAGCACTATTTAGGAAAAAAATGCCAGTGATCTACGATGTTTGGAATGATCAGTCTTGTACAGTAAGTGGTGTTTATAAATGTTTTGTGAAGACTGTAATAAACTTGACTACAAAAACAATCTCAGTAAAGCAACATTGTAACTACAAGCAAAATGAAGATTAATAGTTACACACCAGGACTGCATCAATAAAACTGTAGAAAAACGTGTCTCCCTGTATCTTATTTGAATGATAATGATTTAATTTATTTTAGAAAGTAAACTGAACTGTAATGTATCGGCTGTTGCTGAGGGCCTTAGTGGAGGGTGTAAATCTGCCCTGATCAGTACAGGGAGGGTGGATTATATTTTCTAAGCAGCTCTCTACGTGCCTTTGCCCATGAGAGCAAGACTTCATGGGGATGGAGAGTAATGGTAAATGGATGTTGTTCTAGAATGTGCAGCGAGACCACTGTGCCATCGACAGCCACTAAGTTTGTGTATTTTGAAGCCACAGATTAGTCAAGAGATAAGTTATCAGCAAGTAATTTGTGGAGGTTCTGGGAGGTTTTTTGTTTTGACTTTATTCAGAATGCAGTGAGAGGTCAAGAACAAGGTATGGAATATGACTGATCTGTCATCTTCCTTAAGTAAAATTAAGCTCAATCAAGGCATCTGATGGAAACAACTGTTACATTATTGACTTTTTTTAATTCTTCTCCTTCAAAAGAAAGTGAAAGCTCCTCTCTGGTCTGATACATTAGGAGAGTTCCCCCACTGCAGTACTTTCTATGTACCGTGCGTCAATATACTGGCAGTGTCACTCCTTGGAAATGCCTGTGAAGTCGGCCCCACGTGTAAGGCGGGAGGCAGTTTTGTTGGAGAACTGCAGTAGTCTCTGAGCAGCCACCCGTAAAGGAGCATGCTTCCTCTACACAAACTCCTATTCCATGAGCATCTTAAATAGCTGCAAGGCAAAGACTAGCTGAGGAACTGAGGGCCTTGGGATGTACTTAAATAAAGAATTTAGATGCTAAAAAAGGGCGGTTTGGTGAATGAAGCCGTTTGCATTTAGCCCAAAGTGTGCGTGCCTGTGCCAGCTTATTAGCAGTTTCTATCAGTGTTTGTTGTACTGTTTTGTGCAGTGGAAATACAAGATGTCTGCGTTGTACAAGTTTTGTTTTCTTTGCCAATCGACTTGGATAACGCGCTTCACCCAACTGCATTCAGCTGCCGGCCTAGTCACACGAGGCAGGTAGCTTTGGGCTGTGGTTCTGCTGCAGGCCAGCTCGTTCACCACATCCGCCTCACATGGAACCTCCGTGTTAATTTACGTCCTGTAATATTGTAAAAAAACGATATTCCTTCTAGCCAGTAGGCTTTTGGGATGTCTTTCCTCTATAGGTTCGGTTTTTAATTTGGCAGCTGAAGAGCTCCGTAGTTTGGTAGGCACAGAGCTGCTTCACAGTACCTATTCAGGAAAACATTCCAATGTCTTGACCAGGTCTTGTCTTGGCTAGGTTCGTCCTTGGTTCCTATTTCAAAGTTTTCAGCCTGAGATTCCCATTCCTAACTTTTTCACAAGAATATTTCTTAATGCATTGTGTGTTCAGCGTTATTTGGGGGAGTAGAGAAATAGGCTTTAGCTAACTGAGTAGCTATTTTATTGACAGTGAAATAAAAATGGCTTTCTGAAAATATTTGTTAAAAAAGAGCAACAAAATGCTTAATAAGGTTCTTTAGGGAATCCTTCCAACACTATACATGATTTGGTAACTGCTCTGGTCACCATGGCAACATTTTCATTTGTCCTTCTGCATGTATGGTTTTTAACTGGAACAGCAAGGGAGGGGAATATAGGGCATACAGCTTTCTTCTCAAAGGCTTTGTAACAACTTGCATTTGTGGCTCATCATTAACATTCCCATCTAAAATAACAAAATTGCCACAGCTTATTACAGTATTGCAGACAGCTTGCTTTCTGTGTCCAATTAGCCTTATAGCATCTGAGGTCCTGAGATTGAAACATTTCACAGTAGTTTTGAGCATTGCTAGTTACAAGAGCTGCATTTACAGGAATCCAGTACTACTTTTCAGAAGAGGTGGATGTCATTGTTTTGGACTTAAGGTTTTTCTCCAAAATTTTTCCTGAAGTTGGACCTGGTGTTGGACCTCTTACTTTTTAATAGCTGGCTCCCATATTTGTGGTTTCTTTCATTAGTTCATAACTTAATCAGGTGAAAAAAAAAATTGTATCTGTTAAGATGGCTTCATGCTTCTAGTTTTAAAAAAGAAAACACATGGAGTACCATCAATTGCATATTTATTTTAGCAGATGTCTATAATGTATCTGAAGAGGTTAAACTGTACAAGCATAACTCCTTAGTGAAAAATGGAACAGCTTTCTCTAATACCACTGGGCCTTATTTACCAGTTCCTTGAACAAATATATACTACTGGCAAATTACTAATTTGAAGGGGGGGGGGGGGGGACAGGGGGGGGGGGCACACCGG